TTTTGCTCACCAACTTCAATTAGTGGTTGTAGCAACTTCAATTGAGAATAAGGATCTGGGGAATTTTTTTGATTATCTTGTTAGAATTGTGAATCTTGTTGGAGCTTCGTGTAAAAGGATGGATGCTATTCGGGAAAAGCATTATAATGATGTTGCACGCCGTATAGAAAGTGGTGAGATTTCTACAGGGACTGGCAAGAATCAAGAAACGAGTTTAGCTCGACCGGGTGCTACACGGTGGGGATCTCACTATAGGACAATCAACCGAATTTTGGAAATGTGGGATGCGGTACAAGATGTTTTGGATGGTATTATGGAGGATGCCATGGATTTTCAAATTCGAGGCGTTGCTAAAGGTTTGGTTGATAAATCAACAAGTTTTGAATTTGTATTCATTGCTCATTTGATGGTGACGATATTAGCAAGCACAAGCACACTGTCAGCGGCCTTACAAGAAAAGACTCAAAATATTGGCAATGCTCTTGTTTTGATTAAATCGGTCATGAAAGATTTGAGGAAGTTGAGGGAGGATGGTTGGGAGGATTTATTGATGAAAGTCACAACATTTTGTTCTGAAAAAGGTATTTCTGTGCCTAACATGGAAGATCCTATGCCGGGTCGGCCTAGTAGATCTCAAAGAAAAGTGGATGATCAACCAAAGACTTATTTACATCATTTTCGACAGGAAATCTTCTTTCAGGTACTTATGTTTCTTTAATTTCATATTAACAAATAGTTTATCATTTATTATTATATGAATAATTAGCTTATTTTCTAAATATATTAGGCTATTGATCGTATGTTACAAGAGATAGATAGCCATTTTGAAGAGTTGAGTTCAGAACTTAATAGTGCATAGTATGTCTTGATCCTAGAGATTGTTTTGCAAGCTTTGATGTTGAAAGACTACTCCGCCTCACTCAGCTTTATCCAAATGATTTTGATGATGAGCTCAAGCTAAAAGCAGAATTGAATCAGTTTCACGATGTAGTCACAACATCTGAGCGTACATTTTTCTCTGGTCTTCAGAGTATTGGAGACCTTGCAAAGAGAATGGTTGGTTGAGAGAAAATGGCACACTACCCTCAAGTTAGTTTATCGGCTCATCGAGTTGGCTCTAATTTTGCCCGTCGCGACAGCTACCGTTGAAAGAGCTTCTCCTCGATGAAAGACTGATTTGCGTAACAAGATGGGGGATGAATTTTTGACAAATAGTTTGGTGTGTTACATTGAAATGGAACTCTTTGAAAAAATTGAAGATGAAGTTATTTTACAAAAGTTTCAAAAGATGGCGTCCCGAAGAATACAGTTACCGCCTGTCAAATCATAGTCATTCTTCTCCCTCGGTCGGAAGTTAGGTTGGCATTTGGTTAAGAAAGTCATCTCGTCTCTTAGCTGAACGCGGCTTCGAGAGTTTTATGTTCGTTTGGTATTATTGTAAAAAAAAAATATTGTTGTGGTCTAATGAAAAATCGGCTATCCCTTTACTCGGATTCTGGTTTCGCCACTGCGGCCGCCTTCGATTTGCACAAATTGGCTGAAACAAACCGGTTAAGCGGGTAGGCGGCACCTAGGCAGGCTCGGCGGCCAGGGGGCCTAGGCGCTCCAGAGCGACCTCGGCGGAATTTTTTTTTTTATTTTTACTTTTTTAAAAATACTAATTACTTTGTTTTGTTAATATAATTTCTTTATAATATATTAATATTATTATATATACTTAGGTGTATGTATTTATTGTAAGTTGGGGTAGTTTTATTTTGTAGGTAGTGAAAACAAATAAAAAGTAATCTATTTAGTCTTAATTTGTAGGCCCCGCCTAGGCGCTAGTCGGGCGCATAGCAACTTCTAGAACACTACTTATAGCGTTAAAGTAATTAATTATATAGTACATTGGTAGCTCTTCAGAATTACAACATAACAACATAAACAAAGATGGTATTATTTCAGAGGCATGATTTGGTGGGCTTAAAAGTTATTAGAGAATTTTAAAGGTAGTTCCACGAAGCCCAATATAGAAATAAAGCAAAAAATCCTTGTTTCAGGCAACAAGTGAAGATGATAATACACTGACAGAAGAAGTGTCTATAAGTTATTGGAGAAGTTTTGACCTTCTAAAGGTTGTTTAATACGTTAGGGGCCAGTTTGTAACACGAGGAACTACGTATTCAGAAATCATTCCACTATAGCTAAAGGATAAAAATAAGTAAATTGAGAATCGTTTCATTAAATCAATATATTCAAGTTTGAATACAAAATTATTTAGAATTCTGAAGTTGTTTGCTTCAAGATTATAGAAATTTATCAAGAAACTTCAACCACAATATCTCGAAACCTTTCAATTTAAGAATATAGACAGGAAATGAAAGTTCTGAAATATCTACGTGTTGATTATAATAAAAAGAATCACGTAGGAAGATAAAAGAATCTGAAATGTATAACAATCATACCTCAACATCTGAAAACCCAACAAAGGTATCAAGTTGACCAAAGTGAGCCTGCACAGGTGCCTCAGCTTTGGTGACGTCCGCAAGCTCACGCGAAGGCACTCCATAAAAAGATACCACAGCATCAATTCCCGGAACCAATACAGAACTTGCAATAGCTAGGGCACCACCCATGCAGAACCAGTAACACCAACCTATAACAAATCTTATTAGTAAGACAAGAATTATACCAGTGCATAGAGACATATCGCCTCGAAAATAAGCTAAGTGGAATAAAATGGCCTAGGTTAGAAAAAGATTCTTTGAGGGTCCTCAGAATGTAAAAGTAGTTTTGATCACTCATGGTTACCAAGAACTATTCACGCAATACAAGCTTTCCAACTCCAAATATGGCATAGAATAAATTCATAGGATAAATCGAAAATTCAAATCATCAACGGAACAGGTGGCAGGTTACGTATATCACATAATGGTAGCATTCATGGTTATAATCCAAACTTTCTTTCTTCTCACATTGGAAGTTTCATCATGCATTGAGAAAAATTTCATCGCCTAGCACAATGTCAATTGGAAAATAAGAGGAAACTACACCAATAGAAACACATGCTTATTTCTCAACACAACTAAGAGAAAGTTAAAGCACTAGTAACTAGTACCGACTATGGACTTCTTAATAGATTTCTGCTCCACAGCTATGTACTTTAAACA